TTCAGTATACCTTTTAAGGCCCTGTTACACTATTATTTTTATAAAGAATACCAGATTTCAGTATACCTTTTAGCCAGGGCGGTGTGTGGCTATAAAGAATACCAGATTTCAGTATACCTTTTAAGGCCCTGTTACACTATTATTTTTATAAAGAATACCAGATTTCAGTATACCTTTTAAGGCCCTGTTACACTATTATTTTTATAAAGAATACCAGATTTCAGTATACCTTTTAGCCAGGGCGGTGTGTGGCTATAAAGAATACCAGATTTCAGTATACCTTTTAAGGCCCTGTTACACTATTATTTTTATAAAGAATACCAGATTTCAGTATACCTTTTAAGGCCCTGTTACACTATTATTTTTATAAAGAATACCAGATTTCAGTATACCTTTTAGCCAGGGCGGTGTGTGGCTATAAAGAATACCAGATTTCAGTATACCTTTTAAGGCCCTGTTACACTATTATTTTTATAAAGAATACCAGATTTCAGTATACCTTTTAAGGCCCTGTTACACTATTATTTTTATAAAGAATACCAGATTTCAGTATACCTTTTAGCCAGGGCGGTGTGTGGCTATAAAGAATACCAGATTTCAGTATACCTTTTAAGGCCCTGTTACACTATTATTTTTATAAAGAATACCAGATTTCAGTATACCTTTTAAGGCCCTGTTACACTATTATTTTTATAAAGAATACCAGATTTCAGTGTACCTTTTAGCCAAGGCGGTGTGTGGCTATAAAGAATACCAGATTTCAGTATACCTTTTAGCCAAGGCGGTGTGTGGCTATAAAGGATACCATTTTCAGTATACCTTTTAGCCAGGGCGGTGTGTGGCTATAAAGAATACCAGATTTCAGTATACCTTTTAAGGCCCTGTTACACTATTGCGTATCGTACTAGCGTATGCCAGCGTATGAAAAATAACACTCATACGCTAGGGGTACGTTAGGCATGGTTGTATACGTTTCAAGCACGGTCGCGTACGGTGGCATACGGCGAGGCAGAACATTTTTTTTAAGCATGCTCAAAAATTTTGTGCGTATCGGACGTATGCTTTATACGATAAGCATACTCTAAGCATGCACGCTGAATACGCTAGAGGTACGCCAGATGTACGGTACTCATACGCTGGCATTTCAAAGGATTTTTGTGCGTATGAAAAACATTTCATTAATTTTCATACGCTTCTCATACGTTTCTCTCATACGTGTGACAGGGCCTTTAGCCACCGCGGTGTGTGGCTATAAAGGATACAAGATTTCAGTATGCTTGATAGCCACGAGCTGTTCAGGATAAAGTAAAGTTGTTTAGTTATTTCACCATCGTTTCAAGAAATATTCTTCTCTCTTTAGTTCATGTCTACCAGCAGAAGAAGAGCCTGTCCATGCCAACACCAGTGACTGTCAACCCGTAATCAAACTGGACAACCCATTTTGTGAACATTTCGGATTCAAACTTGATAAATACGTTAATGTGTCTATGGGTGGCCAACAGTACTGGAACGACCATTTGTGGCAGTTGCAGAAACAATACGACCAAGTATATGTAAAAGCGCCAAATGCTTCAGCCTCACCCGAATGCATGGACCAAGTGCGTTTTTATGGCTGTCGCTATACGTTTCCGGGTTGCGATCGCAGCACAAGTGCATTTAAATCGAAGAAATTTTGCAAGGACTCGTGTCTTCATTTTACAAAGGAATGTAGTACGTTTTTGAAGGCGTGGAAAGATCTTTACTTGTCAGGGAATCCAGATGAAGCGTATCGGTTCAGTTGTTTGAAAAGACCATTAAGAAATGCTGGAGATTCCCCTGAGTGTGTCTATTATGAGAGGAAAGAAAGTTTGGAAAAGGAAGGTATGTTAGTTGATCTTCGGTCCATCGATATGTCATTCAGTCCAGGAGTCAGTCGGTTGGCCGGTCGGTTAGTTAGTCTATCAGTTGTCGCTCGTTCAGTCCTGTCAATCGGTTGGTTGATAGGTCAATCCAGTTTATTCGGTTGGTTGGTCGGTCGGTCAATCAGTTGGTTAGTCGGTCAGTCGGTTGGTTGGTCGGTCAATCCAGTTTATTCGGTTGGTTGGTCGGTCAATGGGTTGGTTAGTCGTTCAATGGGTTGGTTAGTCGGTCAATGGGTTGGTTAGTCGGTCAATGGGTTGGTTAGTCGGTCAGTCGGTTGGTTGGTCGGTCAATTCAGTTTATTCGGTTGGTTGGTTGGTCGGTCAATGGGTTGGTTAGTCGGTCAATGGGTTGGTTAGTCGGTCAATGGGTTAGTTAGTCGGTCAATGGGTTAGTTAGTCGGTCAATGGGTTAGTTAGTCAGTCGGTCAATGGGTTAGTTAGTCGGTCAATCAGTTGGTTAGTCGGTCAGTCGGTTGGTTGGTCGGTCAATCCAGTTTATTTGGTTGGTTGGTTGGTCGGTCAATGGGTTAGTTAGTCGGTCAATGGGTTGGTTAGTCGGTCAGTCGGTTGGTTGGTCGGTTAATCCAGTTTATTTGGTTGGTTGGTTGGTCGGTCAATGGGTTAGTTAGTCGGTCAATGGGTTGGTTAGTCGGTCGATCGGTTGGTTGATCGGTCAATGGGTTAGTTAGTCGGTCAATCAGTTGGTTAGTCGGTCAATCGGTTGGTTGATCGGTCAATCCAGTTTATTCGGTTGGTAGGTCGGTCAATCCAGTTTATTCGGTTAGTTTGTCGGTCAAATCGGTTGGTTGGTCGGTAAATCGGTCAGCAGATCAGTTTTACGTCCAGTTTCTGAAGAGTAATTATTTGTAAAGTGACTAATAATATAAAAAAGAAATAAATGAAAAGCTCTCATTGCCTTACTAGCTAACTAAATTGACAAAATTGTATTCCTGTAGCATGAAGGTCGACTTAGACTACAACACAACTTTTGCCTAAAACTGTCGCATGCAACCTGCTTACAACTTGAATAATACTGTGTAAATCAAGCCCATGACTCACATGTACAAAAGGCAAAAGTTAACATAGCTTGCATAGCGTGCTCGGTCGGTCTGTTTTAAATTTTGATAATTCGGTCGGTCATTTAGTCTCTCATTATCTGTCTGTCAGTCTAATTACTACTTTTTCTTTGTAGATTGTCTGTACTTAAACGGCAGCAGTTACCATGGCAACATATCTGTGACATCCTCGGGTATTCCGTGTCAATCATGGACAGAGCAATGTCCACATCGTCATACCATGAACAAAACATATCCAGAACTAAATAACGCTAAGAATTATTGTCGAAATCCTAAGAACTCTGGACAACGACCTTGGTGTTTTACTACAGATAGGAACAAGAGATGGGAGTACTGTGATATCCCGAAATGTGTACCAGGTATAGAATAATATTGTATTGTGATATCCCTAAATGTTACTATTAGACCCCTAAAAATTTGCCAATGACTGGTGATTGAAACGAAGATCTCATAATTGACTGGATAGCCTCTACCATTAAGAATGAAGCCAATTCGATACTTTTTAACGCATCTTTTCTTTTCGTACAGTTGATGGTAATTATGGCAACTGGTCATTAAGTAGTTCATGTTCTGTAACTTGTGGTGAAGGTTTTGAAACATGGACGCGAGAATGTAATAACCCTGAGCCAAAGTATGGTGGAAGAAACTGCAATCATCTAGGAGAACCTGTTGAGTTCAGACCTTGTACTAAGAATCCTTGCCTTGGTAAATATACTATTTCTTTTGGCGATACCATATTAAAACCAACCAGCTTTTGAACAACCCACTATAGTTCAGTAATTTTAGCTCATTTTAAGGTCAAGGTTGGAAAAAAATAGTAAAAAGCTAAGAATTGTTAGATGCAATAATTTAACTATCCTGAACAATATACTAAAAGTCCCCATGTATCCTCTTGGAGCTTTTTCCATTATGACAAGGTTTTTTCCGATTTCCCTGTTACTCCCATATTGTTAAAAAACGTGAAATTTCAAGTTCACTCATAACAAAAATGACTCGCATCACTAGAAAGCTTATAAAAACTACATATAAGACATTTAAACAGTCACCTAAATTTTTCAAGCGGTTTTCGAGTTATTGCTGTTCCAAATGTGACAAATAGGCCAAAATCTGGCAAAAATCCTGAGTACTAGTCTAACAACACATTTCCAACCAATCTCGTTCCCCGAGCCTGCGATCCTCGGGAAGGAACGCGAGGCTCTGGGATAATCCGTTGCCGGAAGCCAGGAATTCTGGCTAAGATTGAACTACGCATTCCATTTCAACGGCCAATCAGATTCCTCCCTGAAACGGATTATCCAAGAGCCTCGCGTTCCTTCCCGAGGATCGCAGGCTCGGGAACGAGATTGGTTTCCAACAGCTCATAACTCAAGAAGAACTCGCAAAATCAAGGTAGCCGTTTAAATGTCTTATATGTATTTTTTTGTAAGTTTTCTAATGATGTAACTTATTTTTCCTATAAATGAATCTGAAATTTCACTTTTTTAACAATATAGGAGTTCACTAGGGAAATCGAACGAAAAACTTGTCATAATGGAGAAAGCTCCAAGAGGATACATGAGGACTTTTAGTATGTTATCAAGGTTGCTGAAGAGAGTGCATACGCTAATTTTTGGCTTTTTACTAATTTTTTCTGACCAATTTTCTATTTTGATTGTACTAAAAGTCGTGTTTACACCACCAGCCTTGGCCTGGCCTTGGCCTACATTTTGACAATGTAAACAGACTTTGGCCTAGCCTTGGCCTGACCTAGCCCAGGAAATCTGGGCCCACTACAACCGGTGGCCTCGGCCAGGCGTAAGCCTAGGCTTGTGGAAATGTAAACACTTTCGGCCCTAGCCTGGGCCATATTTTCATGGCAACGTATGTCCACAGTGAGAGATTAGCGGACAACCAGCGGACAACGTTACAACACATAATAATACGCAAAATTAATTACAAAATTCTAGGCCAAAGTGAGCCAGTCTCAAAAAAATAGTGTAATGGTGTAAACGCGCCACATTTACCTTGGCCTGGTCAAGGCTAGGCCAAGGCTTGTAGTGTAAACACGACTTAATATAAGCCCAAGGTTTTTTCTTAAGTACTAAACTAAACTAAACTAAACCATACTAAGTCGTTCTTATTTGAATTTGAATTTAATTTAATGACTTGAACACTTTTTTGTAACCTAAAAGGTTAAATTACAAAAGTTCTAGCAATATATATATATATATATATATATATATATATATATATATATATATATATATATATATATATATATATATATATATATATATATATATATACAAATTGGTTTTCTCCTTCTGCCATATAGTGCTCTACACCAAAGTGGAGCTAAGTTAAAATTAAAATTAAAGATTAAAACCTAAGAATGTTCATTAAAAATTGAAAAGCACTACAGTTCTGTTTCGAGAGGCCCTTTCTAGATCCTCTCTCTTCAGGTGCATGATCAGATTAAACTAAAATATCCCATTTATATACCGATCGTTCATAGTCATAAAGCCTAACCGTTTTTAATTAAAAATTTGTTTGCATGACGGCATGCACTAGCCAGTTCGTTTCTTTTGTTTAGAGTACAAGTTTCCGGTTTACAAATGATGAAATATTTTTCCATTATACATAAATTACACTTTTTCCCAATATTTGAATACGGATTTGCACGGGCCATTATTTTCCAGTCTACAGCGTATCTAATGTTATTGTCTTTTAGGGACCAAATGTGCTTGCTTAACTCTGTGGAGTTTCTCTTGTTGTTGTCACGGAATGAACACGTGTGATTGTTAAATCGTGTTTTGAACCGATCCCCAGTAAGGCCGATGTATGTTTCCTTCGTATCCTTGGTTTTCACAGTGGCTTGGTAAATGACATTGTTGCTTAGGCATTCTCCTTTTAGCGGACAATCTGGTTTCGATCTACAATTACACATTCTTTCGGATTGTTGTGGGTTTTCTCTGAGGATAGATTTGTTGTGGGTATTGATTTTTCTTTCTATATATATATATATATATATATATATATATATATATATATATATATATATATATATATATATATATATATATATATATATATATATACTAAAAGTTAATCACAACGATAAGAAAATATATATATATATACTAAAAGTTAATCACAACGATAAGAAAGTACTAAGCTAAGAATTGTGTTACTGTTATGTACAAATTATCGTGGACTAAACTTATTTTGCTTTAAAAACATTTGGGGTAAAAAGGAGTTTTTAAATCGACCCGTTTTACACACATACTAGCTTATTATATTTGTCTACACCATTTAATCTATTTATACTGGATAGCTATTTGTATTATATTACTGTTCATATTATATCTATATCATTCTGTATGTTAATATATCATTCTTTTTATTGTTTAATTTCACAGTTAACGGTGGCTACAGTAGCTGGAGTTTAAGCAGTCAATGTAACGTTACATGTGGACAAGGTGAAGAAATATGGCGACGTTCATGTGACAATCCTACCCCGAAGAATGGAGGTCGAAATTACACTGTGTTGGGAAAGGATGTTGAATATCGAATTTGTAAAAGACGACCTTGTCCAGGTATGTTTATTTATGTTTTCTTTACTTCTTCGCTTTAATCTCTATGGAGTCGGCCGCTCTCGTACGTTGATACAATTCTTTCCTTGGCATCCTCTTTCCACAATATCTCTCCATTTCATCCTTTTTCTCCCAACTGTTCATCGCCCTTCTATTGAATGTCTTCATGCTACCATGATTAGATCTTTCTTCACACTCTGTTCTAGACATCCTCCCAGGTAGTAACATCAGATCTCTTTCCACAATATCTCTCCATTTCATCCTTTTTCTCCCAACTGTTCATCGCCCTTCTATTGAATGTCTTCATGCTACCATGATTAGATCTTTCTTCACACTCTGTTCTAGACATCCTCCCAGGTAGTAACATCAGATCTCTTTCCACAATATCTCTCCATTTCATCCTTTTTCTCCCAACTGTTCATCGCCCTTCTATTGAATGTCTTCATGCTACCATGATTAGATCTTTCTTCACACTCTGTTCTAGACATCCTCCCAGGTAGTAACATCAGATCTCTTTCCACAATATCTCTCCATTTCATCCTTTTTCTCCCAACTGTTCATCGCCCTTCTATTGAATGTCTTCATGCTACCATGATTAGATCTTTCTTCACACTCTGTTCTAGACATCCTCCCAGGTAGTAACATCAGATCTCTTTCCACAATATCTCTCCATTTCATCCTTTTTCTCCCAACTGTTCATCGCCCTTCTATTGAATGTCTTCATGCTACCATGATTAGATCTTTCTTCACACTCTGTTCTAGACATCCTCCCAGGTAGTAACATCAGATCTCTTTCCACAATATCTCTCCATTTCATCCTTTTTCTCCCAACTGTTCATCGCCCTTCTATTGAATGTCTTCATGCTACCATGATTAGATCTTTCTTCACACTCTGTTCTAGACATCCTCCCAGGTAGTAACATCAGATCTCTTTCCACAGTATCTCTCCATCTCATCCTTTTTCTCCCAACTGTTCATCGCCCTTCTTCTTCATGCTACCATGATTAGATCTTTCTTCACACTCTGTTCTAGACATCCTCCTAGGTAGTAACATCAGATCTCTTTCCACAGTATCTCTCCATCTCATCCTTTTTCTCCCAACTGTTCATCGCCCTTCTTCTTCATGCTACCATGATTAAATCTTTCTTCACACTCTGTTCTAGACATCCTCCCAGGTAGTAACATCAGATCTCTTTCCACAGTATCTCTCCATCTCATCCTTTGTCTCCTTGCTGTTGTCGTCCCACTATTGGACGTCTCCATGCTACCTTGACTGCATATTTCTCTACACTCTGACCTGTTCACCTCTACTCTTAGGTAGTTCCTTCCGCTTTCTTTCACAATATTTCTCCATCTCATCCTTTGTTCTCCAACCATTCATCGTCTCTCTAACTGCTACCTTGACGGCTTGACTGGATCTTTCTCTACATTCGTTCCTAGACATCTTCTTAGGTAGTAACATCAGATCTCTTCCCACAGTATATTTCTATCTCCATCTCTAACGTTTTAAGCATAAGTGGCTGTGCTGTGTATTGAATATACCAGCACGAGCTAAAAACCAGCATATTTAATCATACTATGTTAGTTAACTTAAACTTATCATTCTCATTAACTTGTATACGTAAGAGTTTTGCCTTTGAATCATTTTAGTTGATGGTAACTACAGCAACTGGACTAAATCGTCAGCATGTAGTGTGACGTGTGGCGTGGGGTACGAGATGTGGTCCCGGAAGTGCGATAATCCACCTCCTAAACATGGAGGTGACTGTTCCAAATATGGCAAAGACAGAGAAAGTAGACCATGCCGCATGGAGCCTTGTCCAGGTTGGTTTATTTATGTCATTATTAACCAGTGTCGTTGCTTAATTAATAATAAGTGTGGCTTAAATTGCTCGAAGGGAAATCAAAATTAAGATAGTCGATTACCGAAAATTATCTACTATCCTAGTGACATCAAGTTCTGCTAAAGTGATCAGAATCACATGTGGTGTTTGTGCTTCAATCATCGTTATGGCCATTTCATTTTCATCTGTAAAAGAAAAGTCCGGATTACGCGATCCAAAAGAAGTGATAGTAAGTTTATTGAATTGTTTCAATAGTTCATATCTTAAATTTGTGAAACTCGTTAATAGAAGAGAACACAATTAAAGAAATCATATATGAGCGTGAAGGAGTTTGTATATTAGAAACAGAATCATGCTGATTTATATAAATTTTAAGTTTAATTTTCTCACGAAATATCATTAATTCATTTTAAATCTCGGGAAAAGGATGTTTCTAATCTGATCCAATAATTGTTAATGAAATTTTTACAGGAATTTCTCCGTATGCGGTGTTTGCCTTTAAACGGATGCCAGAAAGCTATTCACCAGTACCTATTGATAGTACAACAGGAAAACGCATATATGAAGAAATATCTGAAAGCGTGGGGGAAAGGAATAGAATGACAACGGACGAACATATATATGAACACATCACTTAAAAGAAAATATTGTAATTTTCCTTTCATCCGAAACGCGACGCCATAGCAGAATCGCAACGCATCGTTGTTTATTCAGGGTTAGCGAACGAAAGTCCTGTAAATAAAAAATATGTCATACAGTAGACATGTAGCTAGTGTAAAGAATGTACTTTTATGTTCTTCCAACTCGAATTCAAGCTTTTTAAATTGTCTCGGTACTTCAGAGTATCTTTATTGTGTATTTTTTCCTCCTGCAGCTAGATTAGAAAGCGTTTTCTTGTATTTATCGCCCCACAATGTATTTGTTTTGCAATAAACTTATCACTTAATAATTCACATAGCCATAGGGCAAGGGATTACCCTGCTGGCAGCGGCAAGGGATCCACTAGAAATTTTAAACAGGCCTATGTATATAGTATATGTACAAGTTTAACGCCTGTATTCTAAAAGCTCACTCACACTCAATGAGTGGAGGTTCAATCTGAGCTTCTCTTGAGGGTCAGTGCTGTTTTTGAATAGCTGGAGGGTGAGTAGTCACATTGTAAGGTACGACGCTAATCCTCCAGCTATTCAAAAACAGCACTGACACTCGAGAGAAGCTCAGATTGAACTTCCACTCATTGAGTGTGAGTGTGAGTGTGAGTGAGCTTTTAGAATACGGGCGTAACTGCAGAAGTTTAGAACCAACTAAAGAGCCTCTGAAACGAATTTACAAACTTAGGTCTGTTTCAAACGTCGAGCTTCTCATGTGCCGAACAATAGATAATCCGCTGAAATGCCTCATCTATTGTTTCTAATACGTTCGGTACACGAGAGGCGCGACGTTTGAAAAAGGCCTTGTATAAGCCAAAAGAAAATTTGATAAATCCTACACCCGTAACAGATGGGATTAGCAAACTTACTATAATAGTTAGTTCACTAACCCAAAAGTCCATCCTACTACTAAACAGGATAGCCTCTTTAGTTTACTGTGTTTCTCAAACACTCTTAACTCCCCATTTCTTGCCCCTGTACATTTTTATTACCCGTTTCCTATCTAAATGGTACTTAACACGAGGTACTTTGTTGCACGAGCAGTCTAGCAAGTCTAGCTAAACTTTCTGGGGGCGGTGAGCTTAGTCCTTAATTTAAAGTGCGACCCCAAATACGTCCCATCTTGATCAACTTTTTCGCTGTCAAAGTTTCCGGATATGATGTCATTAGAGGAATTGCAAATTAGTTTCCCTTTGTTTTTTGAACCAAAAATTCACTAAGGTTCCTGACGTTGAGGACAAGGTTCCTGACGTCAGGGACAAGGTTCCTGACCTCGAGTGCAAGGTTTTTGACGTCGAGGACAAGGTTCCTGACGTTGAGGATAAGGTTCCTGACGTCGTCGTCGAGGACAAGGTTCCTGACGTTGAGGACAAGCTAGGTTCCTGACGTCGATGGCAAGGTTTCTGACGTCGAGGACAAGGTTCCTGACGTCGAGGATAAGGTTCCTGACGTTGACAACAAGGTTCCTGACGTCGAGGGCAAGGTTTCTGACGTCGAAGACAAGATTCCTGACGTCGAGGACAAGATTCCTGACGTTGAGGATAAGGTTCCTGACGTCGAGGACAAGGTTCCTGACGTCGAAGACAAGGCTCCTGACGTCGAGGACCAGGTTCCTGACGTCGAGGACAAGGTTCCTGACGTTGTCACGTTGAGCAGAAGGTTTCTGACGTTGAGGAGAAGGTTGCTGACGTTGAGGAGAAGGTGGCTGACGTTGAGGAGAAGGTTCCTGACGTTGAGGACAAGGTTCCTGACGTTGAGGACAAGGTTCCTGACGTTGAGGACAAGGTTCCTGACGCTGAGGACAAGGTTCCTCACACGCCGGAGGTCGTCGTACACGCTCGTCACTCAAACTTGTAAGTTATGATGTAGTTTTTAACTGACAGGTAGAGAAGTGAGAGAACTTAAAACGTAGATACTGAACCATGCATTAAACATATTCTGAATAAACCTATTATTATTATATTATTTCATTAGAATTTAGTTTTGCGTGAAATTGCATTTTTAAGACACGTGAATCGGCTTTTTTTTTCGTTGTGAAACGTGATCCATACCCCCTTTCAGTGGCGGAAATCTTGGTGGGGCGGGGGGGGGGGGG